TGTCGGTGAAACTCTGTCGACCCGCAATACTTGTAAAGTGTAGTTTACTGACACGTGGAAAATCAACAGGTAGATGTGTATGTATAGTTTGAATCATATTTTCAAGCCTGTTAAAGGCATCAGGCCCGATACCATTCCATAGATAACTGTTTACGATGACAGAAACTGAGTAAGTATTGAACGAAAACAATGATATACGAAAGAAATGGAAGAAGTTTACTAGAAGTTTAACGATGGATGCTGTTGTCAGTTATAAAACATGTACACGGAAACGCGATTTGCGTTTACTAGCAGCAGATCCGCAGTAGAAATTGTCCTTAAATTTTTGTCACAGGTGTGGCGTTCAGTCGTAAACAAACATATCCAAAAGGACACGACGATGCAGGCCGTTGACCACAACATGGGGCTCGTTACAGGCACCACAATATGGGCCAATATTCTCCAGATTACGGTAAAACCATTATTGTACAGATGCGTTCCGTGATTTTAAGTTTTCCCGAACAAAAATTCGCATTGTACAAGCAGATAGTTGAAAATAGCCACGGAAGTCCGCGAGCAATCCAGGAGATAAGCTTTGCGGATAGGGCCACTTATCGGAGCACAGTATGATAAGAAACAGCGATGTGAACAAGTGTAGCGACGAACATTATGATGATTGGATGGGGGCTACACTGTTTAACAGCCGTTTATTAACTGCCGAACAATCGACCTACAACCTGTCGTGCGGCCAACGGCGGTTGCCTTTAGAGGGGCTTCCGGCTGTTTGGTAGTCAAAAAAGCGTGCGACCTGGTCCCACAATTTTCGTCGTTTTCACTAGCTAAGGGCATCCCTCTGTATAGCTCCAAAGCCTTTGCAACCGTCCATGTGACCGACACTATTTACCTTGGTGCAAACTTTGAATCAACTCTCACATGCTCTCCAAGATCTTTTCTCTAGATTCTGGTCAGTCTCATATTGGTCCCAGTTATACTTTGCTTGTTAGAGATGGCCGCGAATTAGGTTCGCGAACTTTTCTTTCTTAGGAATAGGTTGGATGGAGACAAGTTGCTAATATATATGGCGACCTGAACTCCGTATACAGATTTGAACTTGTGCAACCGGCAAGTCGAAATTGCAGCAGGAGCGCCAGACTATCCAAATCTGAGCGAAAATTTATTGGGTACGAATGATATCATCCCAGAAACATGGCCGGATGGGAACTGCTCGAAGTTGTGGCTACAGGCTTGAGTGGGTGAGGGGTTGCGGTGGAGATTCTGGAGAAGATTGTTGCGGGAGTGCCATCTCACTGGGTATGACAGTGCCATGCCATCATCGCACTGACATGCTTCGGTTTATGGAAAACCCTGTAACGGTCGTCAAGGGTCGGAGAAGGGATACGCAATTCCGTGGTGAGACGGAGATTGACGCAGGGAGTCATGCAGATGTAGGCTCACGGATAATTTTCCTTTTGTTAGAGGACCGTGTGAGTGTAGACCGGGCACCAGCCAGTTTGTGTGAATAACAGTTCTAAGGGTCGAGGACTGAAGCTTGGGAAGAGGGGCGAAGAGAAGGAAATAGAATGAAAGCAGTAGCGCGTGGCGGGTGTTGGGAGGCATGAGATATAACGGCGTCGATAATGAAAAATCCAAAATGGGATGACAGCAAGCTAAATAGACCCAAGAAAGGTGAATAAATTTGTTGATCTAGAAGCCAAGTACCAGCTGAGCCAGAGTAAGTGCCTAGTTTTAGGAAGGTGAAAGCTTTGTCGTCGAGGTAGCTAGCAGGGGGGCTAGCTATTAGACTAGTTGAAAGTGGACGGTATCTTTTGCTCACCAAAGCATCATGACATCGGGTCCTTGTTGTGCGTAAAGAGGGATTAGTGTGAGCAGTGACAGTGGGCAAGTGACAAGCGGACAGGCAACAGCTTCCCAGATAAGTGATAGGAATCGTAGCTTAACTGTGGTCTACTACATCAACCTAACAGGAAAGTAAGGTTAAGGATCACCAGTCGCCGGGTCAATGCTGTCAACTCCAGAAAGCGAATAGTGCATGGCAACAAACTGCCATTAAGTGGTTGCTGTGCCTGCTTGTAATCAGGAAACCATAAGTTATTAGCATTTTGTGCATATGATCGCTCTAGATGACAAGAGGGAAGAACATGTGTGCTATGTTTGGGGGATGAAATGGACTAGTGGTGGTGTGACCCCACTAAGACGAGAGTGGCAACATCTTGCACGTCGACGATGGCCGTGAGCCTCACCGATATTCTCAGGCTACGCCATACACGAATGTTTTTTTCAAATATTCTTTTTTCTTAATTTTTTAGAACAAACGGGAGGACAGCTGTCGTCCGCTTGTATTTCTTGGTGTTGTGGGACAAGCGACAACCGGAACAAGGCCAATCTAGCTACGGACAAACAGTAACGATGCTCTTTTTTTGGTTTTCCTGAATTAAAGGCCAGGCTCAGAACTACCGGCGATGGGCGATACACCCAGGCGAAGCCATCGGCCGCCATCGAAATATGATTTCTGCGCCCATTTTTTATCTTGATTATGTTTTAGCGACTTTTAACAAGACCGCTGACTCGTGGGAGAGATCTTGGTAGTTCGGACAAATGCCGTCAAATGCTTGAACTTTATGCTAAAGGTCACCTCCTTCAACCTATGGTTTAAGAGAAATTTCGGGTCATCGTTTAAGGCTCGCGGATGCAGGTTACAATAAGTTGAGTTGAAATTGCCGGTTTCAGAAGGCTCTTTATGAAATGGCACGATTACCTATTTGTGTAAGCGCGGAAAGGCAGAGGTGGCCGATGATGATCAACGGAGACCCAGTAGTCAGATCTTCCTAACAGTCTGAGGAAAACATTCAAGTGATATCTGTTTTGGTCGAAAGTGTGGGTGAGTGAGAACGGGTATCACAGAAGCCCGCATTTACGGTATATTCGCGGGTGACCTGAATGGAAATGTGTCGAACCAAGGATGAGCGTATCTGTACCACTGGTGACTACCTGGCATCTTGAGGTTAGCTGTTTGAAAAAGAACCTAGAATGTGAGCGGTGACTCCGAGGGTTGATAAGGATCATGCAAGTGGGCAAAGATAGTTGCTTATGGACAACCTGCTGAGGGTTTGAAACGGTTGGCCATAGGGTTACTGGCTTAAACTTCGGATCCTCCAGTGATGAGGGCTTTTGATAACATGGATGTAGAACGTCAGCGTTTCTAATTTTCTGCAAAATTTGAATGGGGGCTTATTATATATTAGGATGTATATTGGGCAACCACTTTCAGTCAGCCTACGTTTGTGAGTAAAACTATCAGATATTTTAGAGGCGTGCTAGATGGGATGCTACAATATTATTTGGGGTAAGCAGGTTGTCAAAGGGCAGAAGTAACCGTGGAAATTTGTTGGTGGAATGCTATTGAGGTAGATGGGTTGTAATTTTGCTATTTATTGCCATCCTCCCTTATAAAGCCCGTAAATAACAGCCATTTTCCAGGATTTTGGAATAACACTGGGTTGAAGAATGAGCGTGAGAGGAATATTTTCGGTGGAGGGAGAGCAGTGGCACATATATTTAGGGTCTACGGGCAAGTGCCATCTGGGCCAGAACATCCCTCGAGGTAGCGCGTATCCTGGACCGTGAGTTATTTTGAACACGAGAGGACTTTGGGTTGCGAGTGGACCAAAATCAGCTTGAATTGGTGAGAAGTGATTACGGAGCAATCTTTGGCTTTCATGGGGTCAAGAAGTGGCGAAACGGGAACCTTGGTTAGACACGCTACAGAAGTAGCTTTGGCTCATATCCATCTGTTATAGAACCTGATGATCAACACCAGTTTCTGGTGAATCGATAGGTATTTTCGTTATCAACCTGTCATTGTGTTCAAACTGTAACGCAAGTGATCACTTCCGGATACGCCTATTTAAGCTGAGCTTTTCGAGCCGCCGAAACGCTGCCTGGGTAACGGGGGTGACTGTGCCGTATAGCCGTCGAATATTCTCCCAGAATGGAAGGATTCTTACCTCTTAATACACCAAAATCGCGTTAGTTACAGTCAATGTAGATTGGAGGCCCAAACATCCTAACTTATTTTTCTGAGCTGTGTGCAAGACACAATGGCGCTGACTTCGTTGAGACCATCGGACGGCAGCCGAGGTTCCGACGCAGGGTCGTGTGGTCGCTGCGTTCGAGGGTGGCGAATTCTGTGAGATCGTTTGACCTGATACGTCCGTTTTCGACGTCGCTGGAGCGGATAGTCCATTTCCACTGCAAGCCCTACTGGTGAGTAAATAATGCTACTAGTTGGAACTGACAGTTGTTACAGGAATAGCATCGCAACTTGCCTGAATAGCCTCCGGTCAATAGGGAGTACGTTGAGTATCAAACGGCGTAGGAAATCAGGGATGGGGGGCGTGATAGGCTTTGAATGACTGTGTCATCTTTGTCAGGGGAGCGAGAGTGGGACCGGTAAATAGGTCCTCACTCTCACGCAATACTAGCTGAATCCACGACTTGTCGGTGAGTGCGGGTGGGGAAGAAATCAGCCCTGCAATTTTGAATAGGGTCTCCCGATGGTGGAAGCGTACCCCACATGCATCTGCGGTGAGATTCAAAATGATGTGTGACAACTCATTTCCGCATCTGGCTTTCCCAAGTAATATTGCATAGGATGGCAACAGCAATAGATCTACTGTGTTATGGGGACCCAATCGTACATCCCAGAGTGAGTGTCGTGGACGTAGTCGGCAACCTGCTTCCTAATGATTACGTGGAACAAATATGTGGAACGGATTAATATAGCGTTTGGGTTAGATTAGGGTAGATGCATTGAAGCAACGTTCGTCAATGAGGACGTTTATCTGCAGGATGGGAGCAGCTAGATAATCATGGAGGGAATGGGGTAGTAAGAAACACACCGGAGCAGATGGTTGTGTGCCAGGAGTGAGGAAAGCATGCCAGGCTGCCGATGGATCTGAAAATGCGGCGGCGGTCGATAGTTTGGTTTAGTTTGGGGCTTCATGGAGCCCGGCGGGCTCCCTCTTGCAAGACTTAAAGAGACGGAGGCTCGCACGGACTTTCTGACAACAGAGTTCGAAGTTGGGTGCAAGTTGGCTTTGATGGGAATTGCGCGCACTGGTCGTGCGATTGCCGGTGGCTTTCTCTGTTTTTTTGCACGACATTCGCGGACGACAGACTTGAAGATCTGAAACAAAGTTGGGCTACTCTATTAAGGTCTGTAGGTTCCGGTACTTTCTGAATTGTGGGATCTATTTCGACCTGAATCATGTACGCCTAGTGAGCACCGGACTAGGCAACTACGCAGAGCCGGAGGAGGTTGGGTCAGACGTACAAGATGGAAGGGGCTGATCTGTTTCTCGATTCGGCGTGATTACTGCGGCTTTGGGCAGTACAACCTTCTATTTTGCCATTTTGACACTTAGGCTGCTCGGAAAATGGGAATCAGACCTTGGGTAGTTTTGTGGGTTTGTCCAGCATAGATGATTATATTTCATTCCGTGGATGGGGTGCCCTCGAAAGCGATGGATTGATGACGGTTCAGTCTCCATAGGAAGATACCAAGTTTGTGTCTTTCCGTGGAAGAAGCAAGATGATCGCAGTTTGTAACTACTAGTTCGAGTAAATGTAAGGCCGCCAATGAAGTGGTCTTCGGATCCGATCCCTGATTTAGCACTGGTGGACACAACCTTTCAGAGGGACATTGACTGAAAATCGCCCCACTTTTGAAATAATAAAAGAACCGTCAGTGCTGTCAGGTACAGGCAACCAGACACGGCTGTAATGTTCAGTTGCCTTATAGTGGGTGGGAGCGAGAACGCCATCGATCAAGTCGATTGGGGCCACCCTGCCCTTCTACATGGCTTGAAGGATTGCAGTAGGTGGTTTCATAGGACTTTGGGCGGAGTGAGACTGTTCAGAAGTCAAAAATAGAAACCAGGAAGCAAACGAGTAGGGGTCAATTGGACACACATTTAAGAAGAAGCGATAACCAAAATGTAAAGACGTCCCGCTTGGTTACGGCGGGGCAATATGAAGTTAGGATCATTTTCATTTAGACACTCAGAGCGGCCGTCATTTGCCATATCTACGACTTACGCGTCGTCAGATTGCGTCTTTACGGTCTCCGATTTATAACCAGGGAGGCCACGTTAGGGAATTAAAAGTAGGCTTTCAGGTAAAAATATTTAGTGAAAATGGGCTGCGTCGTTGTTGAGACGTTAATTAAGAAAGAAAAGTTCGCGAACCTAATTCGCGGCCATCTCTAACAAGCAAAGTATAACTGGGACCAATATGAGATTGACCAGAATCTAGAGAAAAGATCTTGGAGAGCATGTGAGAGTTGATTCAAAGTTTGCACCAAGGTAAATAGTGTCGGTCACATGGACGGTTGCAAAGGCTTTGGAGCTATACAGAAGGATGCCCTTAGCTAGTGAAAACGA